GTCAGCCCCTGCTCCCTCGACCGGGGACTGGGCTATTGTCCACCTTGGCAGAATTTCTTCAACCTAATCAGTGGGACATTAGGAAGGGTTGATGTCTTGTCTGATTGTAATAAGTATCCCAGCAGTGTAGGCTTTTACAGATTTTCAAATGTTTGGATGGTATAGTGACTGATCTAATTTGATCCTATTTCTGTGTTTTTTACCTAAATATTTAATCATGTAAAAATATGATGTCTATTACGTATGCTATGATATCAAAAACACACATTTGATATATTTGAATCCATAGACTAAACGACCCCACTAATTACACATCAAACATCAACATATATATTTCTTATGTAACAATGAAGTTCCGTTCGTATCCTCAAAACAGTGTTGGCCCATAAGTGTTTTCTTTCAGGCAATCAAACTTGCATGCAATACAACTACTCTCTTGCTGTAACCCTTTTTTGGTGGTAAACCTACACATGTTATTTCTCATCATTCACTTGATGGTCAGTTAATGAATTTATAACAGGTATAATTAGTGATAACACCACTCAGATTACCAGACAAAGGTTCTCATTTGGCATTTCTTGTGTCTGGAGTAAATACTCATCATTATAAATTGAGGTCTGACGTGGCAAATGTATTACATCATATGTAATATACGCATGGAAGTGCAGTAAGAGGAATTATCAGCTGAGTTACAAAACAAACATTGATCAAACGATTAACCCCGATAACAGGCTGATTGATTTATTGCTTTTATCCTGCACAGCGGATTTGTCAAAAGGTAGTGTTTATGTATGTAGATTTACTAATCTTTACTGAATATACCCTGTCGTAAAGTGCCTGTGTAAAAGCAACGCCCTTCCTTCAAAGAATTAACCGCCAATACACTGACTGATTGCTCATTATTGGCTAACTAAATTACTTTGTAAAGAATGGCGGACATCATGCAATTAGTTGCCAGGTGTGCTATCTTGGGTGACCAATGGGACTATACACCAATGTGAAAAACCTGAAACATACTTTTTCGCATATTAGACTGTTGAAAGACACATGACATGGAACAGGATACTTTGTCAGCTGCAGATGAATGGCATATCATTCCTTTATGTGGATATTGATGGATACATTCCCCGAACAAGGTAATAGCCTGATATTGTTGCTATAGCTATAGTCTGTTTTAATTTCAATATTTGCATTTTGTTTTTATTTATTGTTGTGGCATTCAACAGAATCATTATTTTCGCCGTGACGTGTAATGAGACAGACAACATACACTAGGTCGCACTCAGGGCGTGTGTGTGAAATATGATACACGTTGGCAATCTATAAAATGTATATATATTACAATCATGTTATAAATTTACTAAGTATAAGCAGATCGTGTGCATTTTATTAAGTTTCAAAGTGCATACAAATGTGATAGTAAACTAATTAGGATTATAACACCAAATATAAAGACGTACATTGACTTCGTTATTTCAGTCCTAACACGTTTTACCACTGGTAGATGGTTAAACTTAAAATGTTTTCATTTGTTATGAAAATAATGCCATTTAATACAACATTCAGATTGACTAGTAGTGAACCCAAGCTCACTATATCATCCCATGTACTTAGTTAGCCTTACTTTCAAAACAATGCTGTTATATCAGGCTTCACACCAAATTCAAGATCAAACTATTTCTTGAATAAAATTCTACATCCATTTACGTTAACATTTTTATATAAAGTCAACATTACTATGACATCAACATTTTACATCAAAATCAGCATTTGTATCAAAGTGAATATTTTTTTATAAGAAACCAAATTATTCATCAAAGTCTACATAAATTTACATCAACCTCAACATAAGATTATCGAGTAAAAACATTGTATCTTTGTTGATCAGTCTATACTTATACTATCAATTGCGCATGAGGGTGGCGCAGCAGAGGTAACGAACCAGTCATGAGTTCTGGGATATCATCCGGGTACTCACTGGAGAAAAACAATAACAAAAGCAACAACCAGCCCACGGAAATTGCTCTGGATCAGTGGCCCTTTAAGTTTTCATTGAACATGTATAAATGACTGAAAAGAACTGAGATTCTTTGTTAGTAAATAGTCAGTTGAAATAGAAAGATCCATACAATGCTGGATTAACTATAGATGAGGCTTCCTAATGACGTCATAGATTCCCCGTCTCGCAATGTAGTGTAGTAGTGAGTTTAGCTCTACGCCACACTGAGCAATATTCAAGCTTTTCGGCGGCGGTCTGTAAATATTCAAGTCTAAACCAAACAGTCCACCCTGGGCACCCATACATGCCAACACACTTCACCTACTTGACGTCGTCAATCGGCTTACTAACCACAAAATGGTCCCGATTCTGGGATATATAAGCTTACGATGGCAGCCGATTCTAATAATCTAGTTACAAGCTCACAGCTTCACAACTACTTCTTCTGCTTCTGATTGGAGATAGATATTTATCAATACAGAAGGAACCAGGCACCAAAAAGAAGAAGAAAACAGAAACAGTTTTGGGTACGTGCGTGGTTGAGGTTGGAAAGACGATTGCAATTTTGAAACTATGACAATCTCCTATTTGAACTCAGATTCGAAGACATGTCTACGTCTTCTTTCTTCAACTATCTCCGAATGCCTCCTGATATGTTTGATGAACTGCTTTATTCCCTGTCTCTCAGACTTACCAAAAAAGAACAAACTGCAGGAAAGCTCTGAACCCTGATCTGAAGTTGGCAGTTACCATAAGCCACCTAGCCTCTGGAGACAAGTACCCCTCCCTCTCCTACCAGTGTGAAATCACACCACAGCCATCTGATCTTTCTCACAGAGGTATGCCAAGCCATCGTAGACCACTACAAGGATACAGTGATTGCATGTCCTGCCACTCAAGGGGATTGGAAGACCATCAGTCTGGAATTCGAGCAGAGAAGGAATCTTCCTCATGTTGGCACCCTCGATGGAAAACACATCGTAAACCACCTGGTAGTGAATGCCTCTACCACAAGTACAAGGGTTTCTTCTCCATTGTCCTGTTCGCTCTAATTACAGATTTCAATGGGTGGACGTCGGAGGCCTGGGTCATATGGCAGATACACAAATCTTCAATGCCTCAGAGTTGAAGGAGTCTATAGAATATGGCAGCATATGCTTGCCCGAACCTGAACCATTGCCAAATGATGATCTGCATATGCCTTACTTCATACTTGCAGATGACTTGCATTTGCCCTTCGTCAATATCTAATGAAACCCTACTCGTGCTGATGTGTGGCTTTGACAGCTCTGCTTTGTTCCATGTTGGGGATGTGTCGGGAGTTAATCGTGGTTGATCGGGTGTGAAGCGTGGCATTACGGGGATGACACGTGGCCGTCTCTGCCTCTCAATGAAAACGGGCAAGTTCCTATCAGCAAACGCACAATTCAGTATCAATTACATTCACATGGCTTCAAACGGCGGGTTTCAAAGAAGAAAGTTGTGGTTAGAGAGATCAATCGTAAAAACCGAGTTGCGTGGTGTCGTGAAAAGAGAAGGTGGACAGTGAATGAACAGTGGAAAAAAAGTTATATTTTCTGATGAAAGTCAAATTGTTATTGGGCAGGATAAGTGTGTATACGTGTCGAGGCAGACCGGCGAGGGATGGCCGCCCGATTTAGTGTGTCCAGAAACCAACAGAAAATATCAGGTTATGGTGTGGGGTTGTATTTGTTGGAATGGTGTGGGGACACTAACGGCTGTAGATGGTCATATAAATGCCAACAAGTAGGTAGGCATCCTAGAAAATAATTTATGGCCGGTTATTGCAAGATATTTCCCAAACGATGGGTATTTATTCCAAGATGACAATGCCCCAGTGCATCGTGCGCGGGTCATCAATGAAAACAATGAAAGGCACACACCCTTGAAGTTTGTAGGAGCAGGACAACCTTCTCAGTAAGGGCCCTCACAGTACCAGAGTGCCCACAGAAGGGGTACAGGGACTCTTGGGACGGCTCCCTGACTGCCCTGAAAGCCGCTCAAGATGAAGACAGCTATCTCTGACACCTGCGTAGATGGGTGGATGGGGGTGAAGTACCATCAGACTCAGAACTTTATCTGTCTAGGAAGGCCGCTAAGTCCTATCGGGTGGATAGAGAGCTATTCAAAAGAAACGAGGTCGGAGTACTGGTGAGGAAAGAGATTCCGGCGGTGAATAAACCTGAAAAACTGCTGATCCCCAAGACCCTACAGCGAATGGTGCTATATCAGATGCATGACATCCCATCGAGCGGACACCTGGGAGTTACTAAGACTAAGGAGAGGATAAAGGAGAGGTACCATTGGTACCAGTGCGGGCAAGACACCAGGGACTACGTGGCCGAGTGCTCAGCATGCAACCGGAACAACAAACCATCACGGCAGGCCCGGTCGAGGATGACTCCCTTCCATGCGGGGGCCCAATGAAGAGGGTGCACCTGGACTTTATTGGTCCCTTGCCCACGAGCAAAGCAGGGAACCAGTACATTCTCATGATGGTAGACCAATTCACCAAAATGGGTGGAGTGCGTGCCTCTCCCGCGCCAAAAAGCAGAAGTGACAGCAAGGGCAGCGGTTAACGAATTCTTTGCCTGGTTTGGGTTCCCACTCCAAATCCATACGGACCAGGGCAGGAACTTTGGGAGTCGGCTGTTCAATGAAATCTGCCAGCTGTTGCAGGTAACAAAGACCAGGACGACACCCTACCGTCCTTCCTCGAATGGACAGGTGGAGAGATTCAACCGGACACTGATGCAGATGATCCGCTGTTATATGTCCAAGTCTCAAACCACGTTGGATGAATACATGCCCCAGCTGGCGGGGGCTATGAGGTCCGCGGGGAACCGCCATACTGGCTAGACGGCCAACCATCTGATGCTGGGCCAGGAAGTAAATGTTCCGGCGGATCTGATGTTCGGGGACCGGAAACTTCCCGCAAGAGAGTGACACCAGTGCATACGTTGCTGGGCTGCGAATAGCTATGGAGAGTGCTCATGCAGCGGCTCGGAGTAATTTGCAGACCTCGGTGGAAAGGATGAAGAGACATTACGATTTACACACTCGATCCCAAAGTTTGGACCAAGGACAACCTGTGTATGTGTTAGACTTAGGGGCAACCCCAGGACGGTGCAAAAAACTGTGCCCTGTGTGGAAGGGGCCTTACCTCATTGGGAAAAGGCTGTCTCCTACCCTGTTTGTGGTGGCAGGGCAGCGGAGAACGTTCATGGCCCACCATGACAGGATGAAGTTGTGCCAGGATCGGGTTGTGCCTCGCTGGATGGAGAGAAGGAAGAAACGCGAGGAGGTCCCCGCTCTAGAGGGGGAGAGGGATCTCATTACAAAGGCAGAGGACGGGGAGGAAACAGGGTCCGTCTACTGCCACTGCTGCCAGCCGGATGACGGGGGTTTTATGATTGCCTGTGATGGCTGCGATGGGTGGTTCCATGGACCCTGTGTGGGGTTGACAGAGACCATGGCTAAGGCCATGGATGAATACCACTGTCCCACCTGTGGATCAGGAGCAGTGGGGCCCTTGGGAGGTGCAGAGGCATTTTGATCTTTGGGGGCGGCTAGAGGTGTAGGATAGTACAGGCGTGGGATGAGGGAAGTAGAGGTTGGTGGGTACTGTTTACTCCATCGGTTCGGCGATGGAGTTGACAGTAGTTCTGACAAATGGTCTTCTTGTTTGCAGGAATCCGCAAAATACTCATCCTTGAGGAGAAATGGAGAGAAAGAATCAAGCTGAGAAGGAGGGGGTTTGGAGAGAGAGATCCAACCCCGGAGCAGCCATTAGGCAGTGCTTGGTGGAGGAAAGGAAGGTGACGGTGCGCCCAGGTGAGACCCGGGTGACGGTGTGCCAAGAGCACACAGAGAAGACTAGGGTGGAGGAGAGAACAGAAGAGACCAGGGTGATGGAGCACCCAGAAGCGATCCCGGGTGATGAGGCGCCAGGAGGAGAAACGCTGGGTAGTGCGTCCAGAGCATCCAAGTCGTCGACAGACGCAGGAGCACTGCAGCGTCACGAAGATAAGAGGAGTTCGAGGTGGAGGGTTCAAGAGTAAACGACCCACCGTGGATGGGTATGCCTGGGGCTGGGAGCAGTTGTCGTCAGACGCTGAATCCCAGCTGAACCGTCGGCCAGTCCATGGTCACAGGGTCACAAGGGGGAAGTCTATGTCCCGACAGACAGGGATCATGCTTTCCTGGCACATCTTCCACCCTACTTTGGGGCAAGATACCCCCAGGGGAATTCCACCGACAAGGAAGTCCTCGAGAAGGTGGTCCAGGGACTACGTCAGCTGGGGACGTGGATCCTGGGGCCTGGGGCCACCCGGGAAGATCTTTCCCTCTTGTTTAACAGAAAAGTGAGGCTATCTCGGGATTGCACGATTCACGAGAGCTCAGTCGCGGGGATGCAGCGTTTGTGTCGGACCCAGGGATGGCAGATGCCGGTGAAGTTTGCTTTGCAGCCACTTAACTCCCGCGGCCTGCTTGAAGCAGTGGAGGGTGCTGCTGCACCTCTTGAATTTTGTAGCCCCAGACTGACAAAGGGAGTTCCGTCTCTTTCTGGTGGCAGTGCCGTCCCACCCTCACTGGACTGCCTGAAGCCAGGCCCCTCAAGAATGGGACCAAGACCTCCTAGAGGTGGGTGCTCCGGAAGCCATGTGGTTGCCCGAAGATCGGGAGCTCCCTCAAGAAGGAAAGGAGCCGGATACAGAGCCAGATACAGACCTGGGGACTGCCATGGATCAGAGAGCCGTCATGGGGACAGAGTGGTGGCCAGCAAAACAAGAGGGCGCCCCTGGGGGAGAGGAATCGGCAGAGGGGTAGGATGGGATCCCCTAGGAGCCGATCCAACTGGACCATCTGTTTGATGCCCATTTTCATCTGGACCGAACGTGGGCGGCCACGTTCGCCCGTACACCGGCATGTCCCGAAGTCAACCACCCCTTGGGACAAGTGCCAGTGTGGGGGGTGGAAGTACACTGCGATCCTCCCACCTATCCTAGCCGGGTCAGCACCGACCCAGCTCACCCCAAGAAAGCCTCTTGCCTTGATGACAAGGTCTTCAGACGACTGCTGGGGTTGTGGGGGGATGCCAGGTGTTTTGATTGGGGAGATCGGCCTGGATCGTTCCGTCCCAGCCTGGGAATGGAGGAAGCGAGAGCTCGTATTAAAGGAGTTGTTACCACATGTTCCCGCGGGGAGGGCTGTGATAGTCCACGTCAGGGAGCCCGCAGACGATGTGGAGGCCAGTGCAACCCATGCTCGCCTTGTCCAAATACTGAGAGGGTTCCTGCCTCAGGACCAGCCCATAGATGTACATTGCTTCTCCGGTGGGGAGGAGGTTGTGGAGGAGTGGTTGAGGGCGTTCCCGGGGTTATACTTCGGGTTCACTGGGCGAGTTAGGGATTTAACCCAGAACAAGTGGCGGGGTTGAAAGTGGTACACAGGGACCGGATACTGCTGGAAACCGACTCCCCTTATATGCCACCCGAGGGATACAGGGTGAACTCCCCGGCATTGTTGTGCTTGGTGGCCGACCTGGTGGCGGAGGTCAGAGGGGTCACCACGGAGGAGCTGCTCTCGTCCACTAATGAGAATGCAGTTCAGCTGTTTTCCCGGTAGAAGGGCCACGACACCGCTCCTCGACAGAGGGGAGTCGGCACAGACATTGGCAGAAGACGGTGGGTTCTGCCTAAGAGAAAGGCGGAATGGGAACCTCGAGTGAGGGGACTGGATGGTTCCACCTCAAGGAGGACTGGGTGCCTCATCTCATAGGAAGATGGAAATTGGAAAATGAAGTGCAAGGGTCTGACCCACCCGAGGCGCGGGTGGAAATTAAATCTGGCGAGCAGGGAATTGTTGGCTCCTATGAACTGTGTGATGCGGGGTCTGACCCTTGGATTTGGGGGATAGAAAGTGATTCCCCCAAGTGGACATTCATAAAGAAACCCCTCAATGAAGAATCCTACAAGAGGGGTATGATGGCGTTCATTCCGCAGGAAGGAGCCTATAAAACAGGGAGGGATGTGGTGATCGGAGCTATCAACCGGAAGTTGGAGGACTAGACGGAAAGTGCCGGAGACTGCCGATCGCCACAGCGAGTTCGTGGAAGCCATCTTGTAAGAATACACACTGCCTTACCTAGGGTCTACCTAAAACCGTGGGTTGGGGCATATTTACTGCAAGGTGGGAGCCGCGACTAACTCCATTAGTGGTCAACATCGTAGTGGACCTGGTGATCACTACACATTGTTAACATTGAAGTGTTCTGTCAGAAGATGCATTGTTAATTATGTGCTTATCGCCTCCGACTGTTGTGACTCTGGGATGACCTGGTACATATTCCACGGACCCATTGGCCTGAAATCTTTGCAACAGTCTACCAATAGCACTCTGATTCACATTAAAGCGGACAGCAACCTTCCGCTGAGTTTGACCAGATTCCAAAAGGCCAAATCCCTGACCCATTTCAGCAAGTGTCAAAAACGTCTCATTTGAAGCTGCGATTTCAAACAGGAACCTGAACAGTGAAAATGCATCAATGCATGTGTGTTGTCCTCCACCTTCCATGGATGGAGCAATAGCACGTGCAAATCATTGACATTTAGTGGCAGGTTGATTTCCATATTGATAATTTGTATAAGAAATGTGCCATTTGTAACATAATATATCGGACGTTAAAGAACGTAATAATGACATTTAAACGGCCTGATGTGTTTTTCCATACTCTTAAAAAAGTTTGTAAAACATTCAGTTGTATATATTTCAAACAAAAACGATGATTTTACAACTTTTAAGAAATGGTGTTTTCACACTTGAAAAAGGCATTTTATTAACCCCTCTTTTCATATGTTGTACAGCAATAGCTTTTGTGTTCACAGGTGATAAAGAATATTTACTTACACAACTTGTGTTACAGCTTGTAAATAATAGCACCATGTATTTGTTCTGCGTAACATCAAAAGTATTGTAAATCTGCGGATGTAAATGCTGGAGGATATAAAACAAATCATTTATTCATTCCTTCATATGGAGCTTCACATATTTTTTCACAAGTCGTGTCAGATTCTAATAATTTCGCCATAATGCTCATTAGTATGCAATATACCAATACAGAGAGCAAAACACCTTTGGAAACTTATTCGCACGTCTGCCTTCGAAAATGTAAAATTTGCTGGGAAATGTCATGCAGAAGTAATGTTTTTAATATGCACGTGCACGTGGGTTCTGAGCAATCGTGAGCAGGGACATTGTTGATCTTAGAGAGCCATTGGCTAAATGAAGGAATATGCTTATATGCGACTCCCAGATAAAGATTCAACTTTGCAGTAAGAGAATGGCTCTGACCATAATTCACGTTCATCTCCAATATTCTGGGCGGCCAACGGTGTGAAACTGTTTGATTGCCAGAACATATCCCAGACATTTTGCTAAAAAAACCAATAACATATGTATAGTTGAGATAACAGGTGCCGTACACTGAGAGTGTGGGTTCGAATCCAGTTTTCTACAGAAACGAATGTATGTTAAACAAGCTTTATTCAGCAGCAGTATGTAAACGTAAAGTCGGGAACAAAAAAAACATTTGTCAAAACTACAGAAGGACATTTATTCACGATTTACACGCCCCCGAATCATCTGGAATCACGAGCCAACATCCACAGTCTGTGAGTAGTAAGCAGTGTATCCACACGCATCAATGGCTGTTACAGAGACATAAACGTCAGTGACAGTTTGAGGGTGCGAGGACAGGTTGAGGACCATCTGTTCCTGACGGGTCAGCAGCCCGTCCACTATATCTGCCCCACCCTCTACCCTGCCCACCATCACCTCATACACCAGCTGGCCCAAGGGGGAGGTAAACAGGCCCGGCCAGGACAGAGTCGTCACCCTGTCGGACGTCCTGGACGAAATCATCGCAGCTGCTGAAATGGTATTAATTTCACATTAATTATATGGTTGGCACCAGAAAACAGGTAAGACACAGTATTCAAATGTGAAGCATTCAAATATACATTTATTACTGGTACATACTGCATCCTGTTTGACAATCTTTGACACAAAACTTACTGTTCAGACTTGGTTGAGGTCCATGCATGGTGATGGATGTTTCTGTCGGGTTCCCAGCCTTGTCCAGCACGTGCATGGCGCTGATGTTGTAGGTTGTCAGGTCGCTGAGCTTCAGGCCACACAGCTGGGCGGATGTGTATGTGAATATACTGGGGACGCTCTGCTGGTACAGCAAACTGCTACCCTCGATGCGAACCTATATTTTTTCATCAACAAACAAACAGGTATGAATGTAAGATATACGTGTATGGATGGAAGTTTCCAGAACTGTAAGCGCCAGCTTCATTAGTTGTACTGATAAAAGGGCACCTGTCTATGTAGTAGATGTCAGCTGGAGGAGACCTACCAGGGTGGTGTGAGGGGTCTCGGTTTCTCCTCCCTCCCACTGAAGTCTCACAGTGTCTCGGGCTACGTGACACTGGTGTCTGTCTGAGAACACGGAGGGGCTCTCCTCCAGAACCTTGAAGCCAGCAACAGATGCCATGTCCTCACCGGACACGAGAACTACGCCATCAGATGAAGACTCGGAGACCTGCCCGACCTTGTTATAGCAACGTACTGTCGTGTACACCTTCACACTGGATGAGATCACAAGATCAGTCAGATTCCACCTGATATATCGTACTCCATGGTTAGTTCTAGCAAACCGACGGACATCGTCATCTCCTGGGGTGTGTCCTGCAGAGGAAAGGACAGCTATTCACACAGAAGATGGATACAGTACCCTTAGGACACACAAAGAAATGATAAAACAAACACAAAGCACGCAGTTTCTAAATACTTGTATGATTTCAATGATTAATGTATTTATAACTTGGGATTAGTTTTCATTTTAACAACACACACATAGTATCACCCACAGTTGTCTCACTGTTCCCTACCTATAGCGACGTCACAGCTGATGGAATCTGACTCTTCATCTTCCACAGCCCAGTTGGCTGCCATGTCCCCTGGTGATAGGAAATCTGTATCCACACCTAGAAACGGAGCATTATGCCTGTATCATCATCATACAGCAATGGTGGCAAGATCATACTTATGTGGTGTTGACCAAATCATTATATCGCATTATATCACTACTGCATAAGGCCAAGCTGAGACATAAATGTATTTGGGGACAGCAACCACTGCCATTGTCAGAAACGTTTTATCTGTATATATTTCTTATGCTCTATATTTAATGGAACTGGTTCGATGTTTATGCTGGAGGACTGAAGACCCCGAGTTTCATCACAACTCAGTAGCATTAATCTATGTCAACTTGAAAGGACACCTTTGGTCAGAGTCCTTAATATCAATGTGTTGTAAGAAACATTTCACTTTTTAACAGCGGAATCTCTGGTACTGTTGTGTGGTGTTGGACTATTTGAGGAGAGTCAACTCTGGGTATTCTTTGCACGGACGTTGTAGATTTACCTGAACCATCGTTGACTTCTTGTATTGTTGGTGGTGTCATGTCCACCGTCAGGGGGTCTGCTCTGGTCAGTGATGTCAGGCCGGCAGCGTTAGTGGCGAGTACCGACACATACAGTCTGGAGTTGTGCGTCAGTTTCTTGGCAGAAAGTGTTCCTTGAGGGTTGCTACCAACGTTCGTGAAGCCTTGTAACTGTGTACCGCCTTCCACAAGACCTGCATGAAGAAGTGATTTCAACACATAGTCTCTTTAAGCTGCTTAGGTCAATAGTTTTGGTTCCGTATCACGTTCAAGTCTAAGAAATTATATAGTTTAAATTATTATTTTTTTAAATTCATTACCATATCTCACCTAAAGAACGTTAGACCATTCGATAATCATTTTCTGTGTTCTACTGAAGATCGCCGGTTAAACAGTCACCAGAAAGAAGCTTGCTTGTAACCACCCACGATTTACATTCCTAATGTGAGTCCATTCAGCGCTGATGGGTTCGAAATAGACAATAGCCTGATATGATACTTGCCTTATAACAATACGGGCGTCCAGAGTTACATTTATCACCTGCGTCGTGTTTTTCTCTCTCAGACAACGCGGATCCGCCGTGGTGTAAACCGTCAAAATCAGTCGCTATCAAGAGTATCCCAACTCTCGCCTAGTATACCGACAACCAGCTGGTAACATTGCAATCGGGACCTTGAATATCCACTTGTGCAGAAAAAGAGACTCACCTCCTGCCCACTGGTACAAGGTGATGGGAGACTCATCTACAGCCCACTGGAACATGGTGATGGGAGACTCACCTACTGCCCACTGGTACATGGAGATGGGAGACTCACCTACTGCCCACTGGTACATGGTGATGGGAGACTCACCTACAGCCCACTGGAACATGGTGATGGGAGACTCACCTACAGCCCACTGGTACATGGTGATGGGAGACTCACCTACAGCCCACTGGTACATGGTGATGGGGGACTCACCTACAGCCCACTGGGACATGGTGATGGGGGACTCACCTACTACCCACTGGGACATGGTGATGGGAGACTCACCTACTGCCCACTGGGACATGGTGATGGGAGACTCACCTACTGCCCACTGGGACATGGTGATTGGAGACTCACCTACTGCCCACTGGAACATGGTGATGGGGGACTCACCTACTACCCACTGGTACATGGTGATGGGAGACTCACCTACTGCCCACTGGGACATGGTGATGGGAGACTCACCTCCTGCCCACTGGAACATGGTGATTGGGGACTCACCTACTACCCACTGGTACATGGTGATGGGAGACTCACCTACAGCCCACTGGTACATGGTGATGGGGGACTCACCTACTGCCCACTGGAACATGGTGATGGGGGACTCACCTACTGCCCACTGGAACATGGTGATGGGAGACTCACCCACTGCCCACTGGTACATGGTGATGGGCGACTCGCTGTCCGTGAAGTGCCAGGACACATGCAGGGACGACCAGTCAGGCAGGAACACGGCGTTCACCTCAACGTGCTTCTCTGTGTCCACAGTGCCGTCATGTCCACTATAGGTGATGCTCTGAAGTGTCACGTGATCAACCGCCATCACCATGGATCTTGACTTTGTGCCAATAGTAAGTTGTGCTGATTCCTCCCGAGCTATGAAGGAAAGTGTGTGTGTATTCCACATGATAACAGAATGTCTACCCACATCACACACCCCTCGGCACAGATTGGGCTCAAGACTGAATGTGATGACTTCAGCGCCAACTGACACGAAGCCTTCTATAGCGCTATGATGTGTGTCCGTGACCTCTGTATATCCTGCATGAATCTTCACTTTGTACATTTGTGCCACACTGAGATGTATATCTGCCTGGAGAACAGATCCGCTGACTACAACATAGCTGCTACCATGTCTGGCTAATTGACGCTCGGATGTAATGATGTGTATACACGAATAGTTGTCAGTCTGCCAGTACTCGGGAACACGGTCATTACATGTCGATGAATTAACAGGTTTATTTTGTATCTCAAACGAGGGATTTTTCACCAGGTTGTCTCCCAAGTATGCAACGGCCTGTGGTTCTGGGGGAGACGTGTCCACGACAACACCATCCGATACAGCTACGTCTGAGGCGTGACCCACTGCATCTACAGCATACACCTTGCTCCATAAACGTGTACCTAGAAGCAAGGGAATATCAATATCAAGAGAATCCTAAAGACTCTTTTGCGCCATCGAGAACTTCATAAGGTGTGACAACCTGCATCATTCGACCTTTGTTAACAGACTGAACTTCCGTCACCATTGGAAAATACATGCTTTAACAAATTGCTGCTGAACAATTACTTTTGTGACATTTTGTAATTCACCGGAAGTACGGGAAGAAGGATGAGCACAACCACCAGTAGTGAGCTTCCCTGGGTAATCACTATGGAGAATCTATACTGACAGAAGAGGCGTGTTGACATCTAGGTCAGATAAACTGATCTGGACACATACCACTCTGGAGAATCTATACTGACAGAAGAGGCGTGTTGACATCTAGGTCAGATAAACTGATCTGGACACATACCACTCTGGAGAATCTATACTGACAGAAGAGGCGTGTTGACATCTAGGTCAGATAAACTGATCTGGACACATAGCACTCTGGAGAATCTATACTGACAGAAGAGGCGTGTTGACATCGAGGTCAGATAAACTGATATGGACACATACCACTCTGGAGAGGTGAAGCAAGTTGTGCCTTGAAGGTGGTGTGAAGCCCGGTCTCCCGCCAGCCTAGCACACTGCAGTCGGTTGTGTCGTTGTGTCTTCCCACACACCAGAAGTATGTGATGATGGTGGAGTCCGTGTCGGAGAAGCCGTGCCAGGAAGCCGATACAGCGGATGGAGAACTCTGGTAGTCCGTGTCGTGCATCTCTGCCGGAATGGACCAAACAAAATCAGTGGTCAAGGAATAATCACTTCTCACAAGGTATTGTAACCCGTGTGCTGATGCTTGTACCCCAAACATGGATTGTTATGGACGTATTCTAATGGGGTAGTTGGGCACTGTGAAGTCAAAGCTCTTCGTGTAGACATTAATCATTCCCTAAACGTTCTATCACGTTTCTAGACTTAAGACAAACAGGAGGCCCTGAAAAACATACCTTGTCCATCACTGACTGTACCCGCAACTGGAGGCAGCACGTCCACTCGGACACCGTCAGAGTAGGCCCAGCTGACCAGGCCAGCTCTGCTGTAGGCCACGACACTGGAGAAGTACACTGTGGCTGCCTGTAAACTCAGGTTCCTTGCTGTGTAGGTCGTCGTGGTCAGGTCATCAGACGCGTGGATATTGTGTCCTGAAGAGTGAGTGAGTGAGTGAATGGGTGAGCGGGCGAGTTAGATGGTGGGTGGTTGGCTTTGGGTGGGTGGGTTTTGCCACATTATGACAGGGAGACACCAGAAAAGGGTTTCACACACTGTACACACAATCTTATGCACCAGGATCTTTAGAATTACCACCAGTTTGCATTGCCTTTGCGCAGAGATGTGTTTATTTGGATGCGCTAAGTACTGTAAGCCATGAATCAGGGTATGACGCATGGACACAAGCTACCAGGCTAGATACATCAAGTACCTCGACATTCACGTCATCTTATATACTGATCTGTAATATGTTGATGGAGTCGGGAAGCTGTGGACGCTCACCCCCGGGGCTTGTGCTGATGTAGACTCGGTACTTCAGAATACCAACGGCGCCCGGCAGGAACTTGTTGGTCCAGCTGATCCTCATTGTGTCCGTCTCCTTCTGGAAGTCTACATCCTTCAGTCCATGGTCACCCCTGACCTCAATAACCTGCATCATTCACATATAGTCTACATCCTTCAGTCCATCGTCACCCCTCACCTCAATAACCTGCATCATTCACATATAGTCTACATCCTTCACTCCATGGTCACCCCTGACCTCAATTACCTGCATCATTCACATATATCTACATCCTTCAACCCATCGTCACCGCTGAGCTCAATAACCTGCATCATTCACATATAGTCTACATCCGTCGATCCATCGTCACCCCTCACCTTAATAAGCTGCATCATTCATATATAGTCTACATCCTTCACTCCATCGTCACCCCTCACCTCAATAACCTGCATCATTGACATATAGTCTACATCCTTCACTCCATCGTCACCCCTGACCTCGATAATCTACGTTATTCACATTCATATCTCGTGTACCATAGATAATTTGTGAATTCATGGAATACATCACCAAATATTAACATCTTAATGGCAATAAGAACAATTATCGTTTTCTGAAATGTAAGTGGGACGCATACTTTTAATTTTCAATACCCTCTGATAAGAATGAGCTGCATGTGCGACTAGCGGACTGTTTCACCAGCTGAATAGGTTGGTACACCCCAAGACCAAAGGCCGATGAGTGTACACGGACATTCAGGTCGCAAACTCCTGCACATTCCCCATTGACACTTATTTATCATTGTATGCTCACAAACAAGAGAGGCGTATTTTCGGTCAGGTATGCGATAATTAGTTCCGCCCTAAGGCCTCAAGTGATTTTGGTTTCTTGAATGGGGTGAAATATGACGTGAACGCTGATGACGTCATCTGAAACCGTGTGACGTCTGGGTGTCTGTACGAATTGGACAGTATCAACATGTTTGCGCTACTTGTGCGCATGCGTAAGATTTAAGGCATCACTTGCAGGACTTGCAATATAACGGACAGTACCTATGATACTCACTGTGAGCGCCTGTTTGTCGGTTGTCTTGGGAGGGGCTGTGTCCACCATGACCCCGTCTGACCTGAAGACGCTGTACGTCATCCCGTCGTACCAGCCTCTCACAAAGAAGGAATACTCGTAACGAATGCTGAGGTTCATGCCTTGGTTACAAACACCACAATTTGTGAGAATAGTTCGCCATAGTCAACACTCTTGTCCACACATTCTTTCTTTCCCACTGCTTTTCAAATGATTACTACGATCAATACGATATAAGACACTGGATTATGGCATATGACAGAGCCACTGCCCACTTAGCGATCCTACCGCTTGTTGATTAACGTTGAGATGACATTATAGAGCTATATAATTTGTTGACTTGGTCTGATATATCATTCAATACCGTTTGGCAGAGAGATGACCGCTGATGTTTGCCGCCCGACGCTGAACCACACTCTGCGGGAGTGAGTATCAAACACACCCGTGGGGTAGTCGTTGTCGCTGTCTCCGAGACTGGCCTCGTACCTGCAGTCAACAATAGTGTCTGAGATACCTGGCACTTCATGTACAGCACGAGGATAAAGTGACAGTCTTCAAAGCCACATCAACAGATATTTAGAAGATAAACGTACTGTGTTTGGAAATTAGAAGAATGTTAGGCCTCACGCGTTCGCCTTCAAATGAAACATCAATTCGGGCTAACATTCATCTAATTTCCAAACACAGTATGTTTATCTCCATTTTACCATAACCCACTGCGTAATCCGGCATGGGACGTCGACGAGAGGCGAATTGAACTCGTCTGTGAAGGGAGTGGTAGGTGCCATTCGTATTTTTTAAGCATTGCCAAATTTTGTATAGATGGAGTGTATTTTTAAAAGGCTTTCTGATTTTAAATTAAAGATATTGTTTGTTTATGTTTGGGGTTGTGCATTGTTATTGAGTTTGAATATTTTCATAATACAAGCCGTAACAAGGTGATCTGATAGTGAGGTTCCCGATTAATTGTGGAGGGAAAATCATATAATTGTATTTTTAGAGTTTTATTATAATTTCCATCACGTCTGATGTGTTGATATTAGCCATGTTGGTAGCCAAGCTGAAGTAGTGCGACAGTGTTGTATATGTGCGCAGTGAGGCGGTCATGAAATCAGACGCATTTTCAATTTAGGATTGATGGTGTCTAATGTTTTTGATTGTCCAGTCAAATTCGACTATTTCAGTTAGTCATGGTAGAATCTTTATCAAATCCTTACTGTGTAAAAGGCAACCCTTGTTGTTTCAATACCGTCCAACGGGCAGCCATGAAGGTGTCAGATGGCGAGTGGCCAATGTCCTGGGATGTAGTGAAGCGGAGGTCGGTGACATCGGTCACACCAAGAACGTCGTTTGACCCACCTGGGATATAAAGTGTTATATTACCGCCATGCGATAACTATCTCCTGTCATAACAGTACATCTACTGTAGACTGATAATCCACATTCAGGAATTATGATGAAATAATCACGAGTAATGTAAGACAACATATCACCTTTGCTTTCAAAACGAAAACATCTCCATCGCGTCTTTTCTTCAAGCAAAATATATTTTCCTTCAAATATGAGCCAGTAAACTTTGTTTTAGAATTCCTCAACAGTTCAACATAAATGATCCGCGCTGTAACGACTTCCCATGTGACCTACCATTCTGGAGCTGTTTACATCCGCGTGTGTGCTGGCACGCCCCGTCCTGCACGGCACAGACACAGTGGCCCTCACAGTTGTACGACTGACACCGTCTCACCAGCTCCAGCTCACCCCCGGCGCCTAGTTCCAGTCCCAGGTGAAGCGCATCGCTCTGAAGGCCGACCTGGGTAGGTTCACATGGAACAAACGTTCAAACATAGAAACACAGTAAAGAAAAAATGATGTGGATGGATCACTGAAAACATTGGGAACACCCGGTGTTCGACAAGAGGGTCACCATGTAACACCTACCCCGTTGACAGCCCAGATTGCCACATACACAGACCGGGTGGAAGAGAGGTCCTTCATGTGGACAACACCAGTCTGAACTCTGCCTTCGTCATCGTGCTCAATGCCAGACACATTGTGTTGTACAAGGACAGATGTGTTTCCCTGAAACAGACACAAGTACATATTTAAAGCTTGAGATCCTGTAGTGAGTTTTAGTTACTCTTGAGAACCACGTTCAATCAACAACCTGAAACACAGGTTAACAAATCTTCGTGCTTCTATGCATCCACGTTGCGTTTTTTGGGCGTGTCCTGTTCCACTTGGTTTCTGTTTCTTCAATATCTACACAACAACGTCATAGCTGTCTTGAATAACCTGGTACTAATGCTTTGAAAATACGTAATGTTCAGTACATCATGAACGGGATTGTACCTCATTAAGGTCGGTTCCGAACTCAGCAGACCCCACTGTCATGATGTAGTGAGTTATTCCAGAATGTAGATCAGAAAAGCCAAGCCAGGCGAGGTTCAGACGAGTCTCGTTCCATCTCATCCAGCCTGACTGGTGTCGTGACAGCCCCGCTGCATGGTCGGTGTGTACGGCTAGCGCACCTGCATTACAATCATAGAACCGTGTTACTGAGAACAGTGTCGAAGATCCTTCAAGGATCATGTAGACAGTGTTGTGTTACCTGTACTAGGATCATGTAGACAGTGTTGTGTTACAGTATTGCGTTGGTTCAGTATTGCCCCAAAAGGATTCGAGGAAAGATTCATGGATACTTTATTGATTTGTGGATGTCAATGATGCTGTGTTACCTGTCAAACGTTCGTGGATACAGTATTATGGTACCTGACAAAGATTCTTGGATACTGTATCGTGTTACCTGTCATGGGTTTCGAGCTGTCCACCAACATGGCCCCAGTATCTTTGGAGTGACATAAACCCGCCATATTGCAGGCGACGACCTTCACCGTGTAGCTGCTTCCGTCGTGGAGGTCCAGCTGGGACAACGTGTATTCTTCCAGAAGTCCTGGAAGCTGTACAAAACGTATGAGAGGAAAGGCTTGGGATTGTCATAAATGTTCTTTGTACAGGATATCGAATCCTTTCTTAATGGAAACGATTTAATTCTATAATGTGCCTACATAGAGTTTAGATTTGTCATGATATCGGCAATAAGTCTGACACAGACTGCTCCAAAGCCATGTCGATATGGCTGATAAAGACTGTGGTAGTTATTATATTAGTTGTGTATACTCCATCGTGCTTTCTGAAACATTTAACAGGACCCTATGTGACAACTGACAGTCACCTTCATGAGATGTGACTGGAAATCCCCCAGTTGGTGAGATGAGATTGACAGGTACTGTCTCTCGATGTAAGATTCTTCGTCCTTGAACTTCCAGCCTATCCTCAAAGTCGTCCTGCTGATGGACGTCCCAGCCACAATGGATCCATATCCGTCCAGGATCCCTGGTGTCACCACAACTTCGGGTGGAGTGATGTCAATCACAAATCCGTTGGACGTGACTTCACTGTATAAACCTGTCACCAAAGTATCAAAACATGTATACACCTAACTGCAATTATGAATTACCTGATCTGTTGTTAGTTTGAGGTATTCTAAGTCACTAATTGGGAAACCAGAGGCTGTTGGACGACCCCTGGCCTCCATCACTGAACAGTAAGAGATGTCTGCGAATATGTGCTGAAGGGTTCAGCCCATTCCTGCATGTTAAGATGGTCAAAACTTTCGGTTATTGCTTAAAACTATATATTCTAATTTTCTTGTGAAAAACAAGAAATCTTCCATTGCAACAGGTATTGGTTTTGGAAATCAAAACTACCGGGCAGGTTTGTTTTCTATCTGGATTCTAGTTCCTATTCAATGGCTCGTGCATTCAGCCTGATATGTAGTTCGTTACAAAACTTGAAGTGTACATTCGTATTTTCAATATTTGGCTACCCATAGTCTCCAACACTGACATCCAATCATCAGAAATGCGAGGCGAATCAGAGGACCCTGATGACACGATAAATGTACTTTGACTTTAGCTAGCATTGAACTCAACTGACATATGATATCGATGACGTGTTCCAGATCACCTGCTTTATTGTAGGCCCGCACTGTCGTGTAGAGAGTCGGTCCAACCGGAAGCTGGTCGTCACGTGACAGCGTGTGGAAGATGGCCTCTTCTAGGCCTGCGTTCGTTGGTTCGAGAATTTCGCCACCTCCTGGTGTTGTTCCTACGCGCCATTCATAGTGGTCCAACACAGACTCAGGGTCCTGGAAGCCCCGCCACTTACATCCAAGGAATGTCCTGAGGATATATACATACAACATACTGAACTATGTAACAGGGTAATAGGATGTTTAGATCGCCCAATTCTTTATTTTTAATTATAACTTTCACTTCAGGTTAAAACACAATAAAACAGTTAATTATTTTTAAAGCCTTTGTGAATTCTATTTTACAGATAAAAATCAGCTTATTGCTGCAAGAGAGAGTAATAATACTATGGTCAATGAAGTTGGCCCCGAGATCACCTGGAAGCCTGATATTGGACGTCTTCATCTTGGGTTCCGTCTATGATGTTCCCTGTTCGTGGAGCTGTCACATCTAAGATGACACCATCACTTGTCGCCATGGTGCACAGACCTGCCATGTTACACGCTGTCACCGTCACGTAATACGGCATGCCGTACTTGAAGGAAACGTCATAGAACCGCACGTCTGCAGCAATAAGACGTACATGGCTTCATAAATATCAGTACAAATAGACACGCACATGTGTTCATAAATATCAGTACAAATAGACACACATGTTAGAAGCTGTTTATACTCATAAATTTAAGTACGACATTTACGACGTTTGAATGTTCTTTCAAGTGAATGTGCTGAAATATTTGCTAAAAGCGGTCTAAAACCATACTCACTTACTACTACATAGCTAAAGCTTATGGTACATCATGAATCGCATCAAAGGAAGAGAATCGCTTTACCTGTTCTTGCCCCCACGTGTGACTGAGCGAGCGTGTCGTCACATCCCCGACACGTTCCCACCTGGAGGAGATAGTGACTAATGGAAGAGTGGGGGTCGGAAAACCCCTCCCAGTAGGATCCCATCTCCGATATCACGGTAACAAAGTCAGCGTCCTTGATCTGGCCACTGACGGTGCTGCGTTGTCCATCATACACGTGGCCGCTAGAGGGCGGCGTGGTGTCCGCCGTCACAGGTCGTGAAGTTATCAAACTGTGCAGGCCTACCTTGTTGTATCCCTGAAACAAGATTGCAACATTGTGGTGTCATATCAGGCTCATACTCTTTTCTTATTATAAGTACATGTATGGCTGTACTAGTCTTATTGGGGCGGTGGGTAAAATGGCTCGTTACGCCGAAGTCACGGGTTCGATTACCCACATGGGTACAATGTGTGACGCCCATTTCTTGAGTCCCCCTCCGTGATATTGCTCAGTCACTCACTCATTAGTCTTGAAAGTAAGGCTTGTATGTTTACCTTTACTGAACGAAGTAGACATGTCCGTCTATTAGGGTTGCCCCGCCATTGTTTCACGCTACAGATACAGAATACATTGACTCATAGATTACCTTCACTGAAACAAAGTAGACATGTCCGTCTATTAGAGGTGCCCAGCCGTCGATAGCCATACACTGGTCCGTTGTAGATGTGTACTTGACCACGTCATCATAGGCAGGTCTCGACCCTACACCAACGTCATAGCTAGTTATGCCACTCTCCGGGTCAGACAGAGCTCCCTCCCAGCTGGAACAACCAGACCACAGACAGTCAATACATCCAGAACTGAAGACAACCTCACTGTCCAACGACAACAACCAGACCACAGAGAGTCAATACATCCAGAACTGAAGACAACCTCACTGTCCAACGACAACAACCAGACCACAGAGAGTCAATACATCCAGAACTGAAGACAACCTCACTGTCCATCTACAACAACCAGACCACAGACAGTCAATACATCCAGGACTGGAGACAACCTCACTGTCCATCTACAACAACCAGACCACAGACAGTCAATACATCCAGGACTGAAGACAACCTCACTGTCCAACGACAACAACCAGACCACAGAGAGTCAATACATCCAGAACTGAAGACAACCTCACTGTCCATCTACAACAACCAGACCACAGACAGTCAATACATCCAGGACTGGAGACAACCTCACTGTCCATCTACAACAACCAGACCACAGACAGTCAATACATCCAGGACTGAAGACAACATCACTGTCCATCTGGAACATGCAGACCACAGACAGTCAATACATCCATAACTGAATGCTACCTCAATGTCCATATAAAACAACCACAGCACGGACAGTCAATACATCCAGAATGCAATGTGAGGTGGCTCTATATAATCTAAATCTTTCCCAGAACATTCCCTAAACTCCAGTCCAGCTGTAACTGGGACACTTACCACACATCTATCACAGACGTCGTCAAGTATTGTCCAGAGAAATGTATTGACCCCCCTGACGTCACCGGCGGCGTGGAGTCAATCAACATCCCCGACGATATGACGGTCTTGGTCTTGTTTACAAAGTCGGTGGCTGTAACAGAAGTAACAGAAGAAGCTAACGGTAACTAACAAAACAAGACAATATATAACCAGAAACGCAGTAACTCTGCAATGTCATTAATCAGTGCTGTACGTCAGTTGTACAGCGCACTGTACCAGTGATATATATGACAGATAAACACTAAACAGTACTAGCAATATAAAGTGTCAACTATATCTACTCTTCAAAATAAGTAGGGGAATTTTGTTTTCATTTACGGTTGAAAAAAATGGGAGATATATCGAAGTCAATCAATGTTGATGTGATAATAATGAATGTTTTGAGGGTGCATCATCACTTGCACGTCCTTATGACCATAGTTGTTTGTGCAGTAATCGTTCTTGAAAGATGAATGGTGTATGGCGTGACATTTGCATATGTATGATTTTCATTCATTAGTGTCTGTTCCTCCAAGCACCAAACACTAACAACTGTGTGATGCAAGATGATAGTCAGAATGGCCCCCCATGCACGTGTATGTGGCTACAGCGTTGAGCATGTGCATCCCATGCGTTATGTTTATGGATTGTGATCAAGAGAAATGGTGATCCGTTTATAGGATGTTTGTCTTTGAAAAAGATTCTTAACCTCATACTTCCTATCCAAATTGAAAGGTCTTTTTAAGAGTATACATAGAGAGAGAGACTTCCACCACCAGTCAATACAATGTCAGCCTTATATGTTCCCTGTAACCACCCATCTATACAACGTGAGAGGATGGGAAGACGCATTGCACCTGTCACGGACGCGTAGATGGTGTGCCCGTCGTGCAGCTGGAGGCCGTTCAGGATGACGTGGTTGACCAAACCCTGTCTCCGTGCTGCCGCCACATCCTCCCCTCCAGGATGAGAACCTACGAAACAGCAGTCAGCGTTGTTTCACCAACATCTCGTCACCTCGATAACATGTTATTTTTCATAGAACACTGCATATTATTTCAGCTTGATAACGTTTTCCTGTACAATATCGAATCTCGATCATATCATCCAGTGACTGATGAGAAAACATGGTTACTCAACCTGACCACTCGATCTATGAGGTGCCCTTACAGTCAGCATAATCTGCTGCATCTATTTGGTCACTCCTCAAGAACAGCATAATGTATTCGATCTATCAGGTCGCCCCTTACGATCATCCTATACATGTACTTCTTGATGGCTGCTAAGATCCACGCTAAGATTTAATGAAAGCGTACCTAGAGCAACTTCATAATATGCTATCCCACTGGGGTGTGGAGACGACCCTTCCTCTTCTACGTCAAGGAAGCCGTCCCAGAAGACCTCGATCTCACTGGTGCTGATCTGAATAAACACACATGTACAACACAGTTACACCAACAAAACACTATATGCTAGAGGAATCGGGCAGATGACAATAAAGCTGGGGTTCACTCACTGAAGCCATGTAAGGTCAGGTGACTTCAGAACTTATTTCATTATTGAGAAAACTACACTTGAACAAATTATAACTACCCTTATGGAAATGGCACGAACGTAAGTGAGAAAAATTCAGTTAAAGATCATGTTTTCACATATCTCTGTATCAATTCATTTCATGTACGATGCATGAGAATTGTGCCGGTGTCCTAACTTGCTAAATGTATGGAAGTCGGAATAGCTTCTCGTGTTGAGAAAGACTGTTCAAGATGTTGTCATGAATAGTAAAACAATGTTAATACTGGGGTGACAATTTCACCTGGAACGCGGGGCTGTTGAGGCCGCCAAGAAACACCCTTCCTCCGCTAGGTGGCGTCACGTCCACCGTGACCCCGTCACTACACGAGCTGACCTCTGGTAAGTCCTCTGTCCACTTCTCGTACTCCACGACTCTCGCCCCGGCATGAACACACACATAGTACCTCCTCCCTTGAACAAGCCAGCGTTCTGCTTCGACCACGTTCAGAAATTCCTTGTCTGAAACACCAAGTAGCAAGTATTCATGATGAGGTAGGTTTTTAAACCCGCATTTCTGTTAAACGCACATTCTCTTTTAAGTGATATGAAGTATAAAAAGACTTTGGCATTTGTGATGCATTTCGGTGGTGTTTTCATCTTTAGATGTATCTAAGCTATACAAACAACAACAACTAAGACTTCATGTGGCCTGCAGTAATGGTCTGCTACTTCTAGGTTTAGATGCTTGATTGGCATTTTAGAAGATGCTATTTGATGAACAACGAGATTTTTCTGGGTTACATCTTTTTTTTTTTATTCTTCTTATTAATAATAATATTTAGTAATAAAAAGAAGATGTAACCCAGAAATATCTCTATGTTCATACTTCTAGTTTTGTTAATCAGCTACCTGTGTGGCCGCACTTGATGACATCCGGCATGCTACAGAGATCAGTGAAGGTCATCAGACTGTCCTTCTTGTAGTGAGATGAGGGGTCCAGCTGGTCACCTGATAGCACTGCCCACGTGTAGTTCCTGTGACGGAGTGTGGGCCACACAGCAGACAGGGCGTTCCTGTACGGGGTGTAGTCAGCATCAGCGCTGTCCCACCCGTCATTCTGGTCCAGAGAGATGATGACCCGACATCATCAACCTGTCTGGCGCCTGACAGCAGGATGACAAGTACATGACACAGGTCAAATATTCACCTACATAATAATAGGGAATTGCATCAAACATCATTTTTTCACTGATTTGTCAACGTCCTCCCCATATCTACCATCAAATTGTTTGAAAGCCTAACTGGGGAATTGAATGTTGTGACCTTGATCGAGTCATTCCTGAGCAAGAGTCGTATGACGCAATTTGAACTGAAAAAACCGTCCCGCTCTGCACACAGCCAAGACAGTAAATATTCCTCCTTCCAGGAAGCGCTGAGAAGTCGAACTCACTACTGCTATTATTTAACGATCTTGGCACAGTAACACTTGTTAGGCTCATCATCAGCTCAGGCCCTTTGCCTCATATACACGCATCCCAGACAACCAATGGGAATTGTCCGAGCCAGGAAACGCTGCCTTGACGCGCCCACCAACAACCTTTCAGACAATGTGAAGACTCCCCAACAATGCAGCCTTCTATATTACCCACCATGTCAGAGTGAGTGAGTGAGTGAGTTTGGTTTTACGCCACTTTTAGCAATATTCCAGCAATATCACGGCGGGGGACACCAGAAATGAGCTTCACACATTGTACCCATGTGGGGAATCGAACCCGGGTCTTCGGCGTGACGAGCCCACCAACAACCTTTCAGACAATGTGAAGACTCCCCAACACTGCAGCCTTCTATATTACCAACCATGTCAGAGTGAGTGAGTGAGTGAGTTTGGTTTTACGCCACTTTTAGCAATATTCCAGCAATATCACGGCGGGGGACACCAGAAATGAGCTTCACACATAGAACCCATGTGGGGAATCGAACCCGGGTCTTCGGCGTGACGACCCCTCCAACAACCTTTCAGACAATGTGAAGACTCCCCAACACTGCAGCCTTCTATATTACCCACCATGTCAGAGTGAGTGAGTGAGTGAGTTTGGTTTTACGCCACTTTTAGCAATATTCCAGCAATATCACGGCGGGGGACACCAGAAATGAGCTTCACACATTGTACCCATGTGGGGAATCGAACCCGGGTCTTCGGCGTGACGACCCCACCAACAACCTTTCAGACAATGTGAAGACTCCCCAACACTGCAGCCTTCTATATTACCCACCATGTCAGAGTGAGTGAGTGAGTGAGTTTGGTTTTACGCCACTTTTAGCAATATTCCAGCAATATCACGGAGGGGGACACCAGAAATGAGCTTCACACATAGAACCCATGTGGGGAATCGAACCCGGGTCTTCGGCGTGACGACCCCTCCAACAACCTTTCAGACAATGTGAAGACTCCCCAACACTGCAGCCTTCTATATTACCCACCATGTCAGAGTGAGTGAGTGAGTGAGTTTGGTTTTACGCCACTTTTAGCAATATTCCAGCAATATCACGGCGGGGGACACCAGAAATGAGCTTCACACATTGTACCCATGTGGGGAATCGAACCCGGGTCTTCGGCGTGACGACCCCACCAACAACCTTTCAGACAATGTGAAGACTCCCCAGCACT